CGCGCTCGGCCCCTCTGTGCCCCGCAGGTCCATCCACATCGTGGCGCTGGGGAACGAGGGGGACTCCTTCCACCAGGACAGCCGGCCGTCCGGGCTCATCCGCACGTACCTGGGGAGGAGCCCGCTGGTCTCGGGGGACGAGAGCAGCTTGTTGCTGAGCGCGACCAGCGCCGTGGCGCGCCCGGTGTTCACCGAGTACCAGGCCAGCGCGTTTGGGAACGTCAAGCTGGTGGTCCACGACTGTCCCGTCTGGGTAAGGCGCGGCGCTGCTCTCGGATGAGGCGGACACCGCTTTTCTTTCATTTTTTTCCTCTTCCTCCCAACCCCCCCCCCCCAAACATAAATACAATGAAAACCCCCTTTATGTATGTGAAGTGACCGGATCAGAGGAAACCTTTGGTTCTTTGTTTCGTCGGGCAGGGAGCAGCCCAAAGCGCGCTCTTAGAAGGCGCAAAGCCCTGGGGAAGCGGGGCGCTCACCCCTCGCGGCTGTGCCCTGTCCCTTGGTAGACGCTGACAGCTGAGAGTGCCAACCACGAGGGACGGGGTCACCAAGTTTCGCCAGCAGAGAGCAATATTTTCATGCCTGCCCTGGGAGTGATAGCGTAATATTAGTGTTCTAAAAATAAACCCTCTCTCTGAAGCTCCGCACAGGCTCACATACATTCCACCGGCCAGGTCAGAAACAGGACCTGGAAGGAGAAAGAAAGGGACTGAGACTTAATTTTAAAGAACTCATTCATATTACTATGTACCTTTGACATTTTTTAACTAGTGTTTTTAATTTTAATAATACGGATACTCTTGATATATTAGGCATTTGATTTTAGTGATCCATAAATCAGAAATGATATTAGTAATATGCTTGGAATTATTTAAAAGCTTTAAATTTTGCGACAATTGACAGCAATGGTAATGAAATTGATAAATGCTAATTCGATTCTTGACTGTTTGATAGAGGGAGAAGGGAATCTACTCCCTGACACATATAAATGTTTTCAGTACACAATAATATCATATTTTTTAATGTTTTCGTTTAATCTTATTTGGGAATGCCTGATTCTTTACTGGTATTAGAGTTACATTGCTACTAAAGATTAGATTTTGTAACAGAAGAAAGTTTAGTGTCTGAAAAAGAGAATACAAATTATCATGTGAGATTTTTACATGTAGCAAGTTTTAAAAAACGAATTTGGGGCAATAAGGAACTAATATACCTTTCTAAGGAAATGTATAGAATGTACAAATTTCTATATTGTGGAAAAAGATCACTTGTCTAAATAAATTTGTGATTAAAGAAAGTTTACTTTAATAGACTAAAACAAATGAAAAACGGGCCTTTTCAATAATAGTGATGCTATTAAACTCCTAGTTATGAAAGAGATGCTGCTGATCATAAGAAGCATTGATAGAGAATTTATTGTTTGAAGTCCATGCAAGCAAATAAAACACTGTGCTTAACTTTGGTATTTCATTGTGAAAGACTTTACAGTCTTAAAACTCATTGGTTCTATTTGAACTTGATCAACCATTGAGGGAATAGAGGAAATTTGTCAGGAATATAAATAAGCTGAATTAGGATGTTAGGATTACCTTTTACATTTTATTCTTTAAGCTGTTACCTCTTTCCTGTTTATGTTGTTAATTTAGCAAACAACAGTACTTGTGATCCAATGAAATCTTACAAATAGATTAAAATAAGCCCCAGTGATTGTTACTGCCATTTACTGATTGTTATGTTTTATCATAAAATCACCTTTTGTTTGGTTAGACTCGGGCCCTATTTAAGGCACTGAATTTGTAACCAGGTATAATTTTCTAGGTTATAATGGTTTGCAGACATAGTAGAATACATTTGTAGAGTTATTCTTTATAAGGTGCTTTTCTTCTCTTGGTGTTAAATAAAAGCACATCAGAGATATTAAAGTTGATTGTATTCATCAGCTGATATTTGACATGTACTGAGTCTGAATATTAAATATAACAGAGCAGATTCAGCACAGGTTTTGATATCAAAAGGACCTGATTTCAGATCCTCACATTGCTACTTAGTCAGTTGTTCTCTTTGCGCCTTACTTTCCCTATGTATAAAGTAAATATAAAAATCCTTCCCTATGTATAAAGTAAATATAAAAATCCCTGCCCCCTAGAGTTGTGCTGGAGAGTAAATGAGACAGTTCAGGTAAAGATCTTTGAAACCGGCATATAGCAGGTCCCAATAAGTGCTAGCTCCTATAATAATAGAGTATTTATTACAACTTTAGTGTAGCCATGTATCACTTATACTAAGCCAAAGTAGTTTTCCCATACATCATTCAAGATTTAAACAAATACAATACATCGACGCAGAAATGTTAGTACTTAGTATTGTATTTGCAGCCCCACAATCAAGTAGAATAAAATTGTTGTTTTGCTGTAAAAATTCAGATTAGTTTTAGTTTTAAAAAGATGAGTTTGATTCTCCAAATGTGACTCCAAGCCTTGTGTTACATAACCTCCTAGAGGAAATCCTGGAACTGATTTACAAGGGGCGGGAAATTTTTATTTCCTTCATATGTCTAGAACCAGTGGCGCATTTTTCTCTTTGCGAAGCAAAGTGGTGTTTTCTTGGAGCTAGAATGGGATAGCTGTGCTTCTCTTTTTTAGTTTTCTTCTCTAGATCTGTAGCCTTACTCTGGATCCTTGCCATACAAACTTGGCATTTTAAACATATATGTGCTTCAGATTCATTTTATGTAGCTCAGTATTTAGTATGTCTCCCTCAAACCCACCCTTTTTTGTTGCAGTTATTTTATTTCTAGATATTTTCCTGTTTACCAAAAATAATTCCATAAGAAGCAGTGAAGTAATGCATGCAGTTTTCTTGTGCAAGGTTTGAAGCTCTGATTTGTATTAAAAATAAAATGATTTATGTCTTGGTATTCCCAGGACCATAGTGTTAATGATGCCAAAGCCCATTTTCTCATGACATTTTCCCTTAAATGTTTCTCTCCCTACCCACCCCCCAACCCCCTTACATTTCTCCAGTAACTCTGGAATTTTGAACTATTTGGAATGCAAAGAGCAAGTTACTTTTGTTCTATTCTCCTAGAATTAAATGGCTGCTTACTATTGATTCCACTTATGTTTAGTTTTTATCTCTTCTGACGTCCTTTTTCATTGTTAAACTTACATACCCTCTAATACTTACATACTTAGAGTTTGAATACTATAACAGATACAACTGGAACTGAATGGGTTTTGTGGTTTGGGATTTGGAAATTAGCCAGAGCTCTGCTGGGAAGCTTTCACATTTTCTTGATCTGTGTCCCACTTCACTTCTCCCCCATCTTACACCCTCTACTAAGTGCAAGACTTTGCACTTTATATTCCTATATTTTGCCTTTGGGTTTTTTGTTTTAATCTTCCTTTAAAAATGTGGTATTCATCCTACTTTCAGCAGGGTAGGCATACCTAAAAAAGCTGTAATCCTTGCCATTCTGAGTGTACTTGTAGGAAATAGGTGGGTTGGGAAGGTGAGGGAATCGACACAGGTTTTGCTGGGGCTGTGGAGATACTGGTGAGAAGAAGCTGTCTGCCCAAGGGCACTGCTGAGTTACACTTCTCTAGAATTTTCCATCATAGGGCAAGAGCCCTGATACACAGGCACAGATCTTGATTGATTGATGCAAACACTATTAACCTTGTTTTAGACTCCTATGTCAAAATGAACACTTTCGTAATCCAACAGTTTTTGGACCAGTTACCACATCTACCTATTTTATTTCTGTGTGTGTGTGTCTGTGTCTGTGTGTGCAAGTGTGTTCCAGTAAATCTTTATTCACACAAAAATAGGCGTCGGGCCATATTTGCCTGTATCACTGTCTATTTTCTTAATCCAGCTTTATTATATCCATGAAATACGTAGAAAAGGCCACATGACAGGACAAATAATGATGAATAGTTAACTAGAATTTGAGATGAAATTATTTATGCATATTTAGCAGTGGTATTAAGACACAGAAAGATATTTTCTTTGTACTATGCACACCAAAAACTTTGAAAAATTATTTTTAAAATATTAAAGCACTGAATTTTAAGGGGTAGAGTCCATAATGAATTATTCTTGGCCCCAGTTCTAAATGTAAATATTAGAAATCTCATGCAAAAGTAAATATTTCAAAACTAGAAAGACTTATCCTGAATTATTTTTTTAAATATATTTTATTGATTTTTTACAGAGAGGAAGGGAGAGGGATAGAGAGTTAGAAACATCCATGAGAGAGAAACATCAACTAGCTGCCTCCTGCACACCCCCTCCTGGTGATGTGCCCGCAACCAAGGTACATGCCCTTGACCGGAATCGAACCTGGGACTCTTCAGTCCACAGGCCGACGCTCTCCAGCCGTGGGCAAACTACGGCCTGCGGGCCGGATTCGGCCCGTTTGAAATGAATAAAACTATTGAAATAAAAGACCGTACCCTTTTATGTAATGATGTTTACTTTGAATTTATATTAGTTCACACAAACACTCCATCCATGCTTTTGTTCTGGCCCTCCGGTCCAGTT